ATGAGATGAAGGATGGTGGTTTGATTAACTGAAAGAGGGATGTCATCCCTTCCATGGGGTAGAAAATGCACAAAGACTGGAGTAGAAAATGTGTGTCTAAATCTCCCATTTGAGAGCAGAGAGCACAATATTGCTCATGAAGTGAGATTCATTAAATGACCTGCCCAGCTTTCATGACGCAGAAGCTCATACAAACTCATGTGGGCCTTTCAGGGTATGTCTGCTAGGAGGTGTAATTCCCAGAGCAGACAGACTCACTCCCACTGCCATCCAGAGCTGGGCGGACAATCCATTTCACAAATTTAGATCTTTCACAGATTATCCATGGACAAACATTGTTATACCATTTCCTAAGAGGGATGGAGATGCGCCGCACAATATCCTGCACGACAGACAGGCCATCGTTTCTGACAGCTCAGAGCTTGGTCAGAAACTGACTTGATCATTCACTCAACTCTAGTGGGTAGAGCCAATACCTAGACAAGTAATTATTTACCATATATGTGGCCATACTCCGGGGTTGCAAATGTATGAGAACAGAATTTGTCTATGGAAGGCTTTGCTTCACACCACCACATTTTGTTTGTTTTTTCTTTCCTCTGTGACAGCTACAATTTATGGCCACTGGATTTTAAACTGTTAAATAATGGGAGTATGTGTCTATGATACCACCTTCTCTAAACATTCAGCTGTACATGGCAAAACTACAGAGTCATGTAACAACTCTCTGTTTAAGCCTGTTGAAGCACATTTTCAAAGAAAAATTACTTTGCAAGGCACAGTAAGTGAATTCTATTGGAGGCTCCTTTATGAAATTTGTAAAATTTGGTAGCCTAGTTAACTGTAGCATAAAAAAGGGTTGATATGTTGGTAAATACAGCAAGAAAAAGGCAAAAACTGGATTTATAACTCATTCAACACGCGGAAACTAGATATTTCTTCTACACATCTTGACAAGAGCTGAATACGTACTGGAAGAGCACACGGGTTACACACAAAGTCTGTGACAGAGAGGGGACGTGAACCCAGATGCACTGAGTTCCAAGGCAATGTATCAGCCTTGAAGACTATTATTAAATTATTTTTCACCTCTGTGACCCTGAAAATATTAAAAACCTATAAACCGCATTGGAATTATGTACTCACAGTTAGTCTGGTTTGCTACAGATTTCAGCTCACATTCTCATAAGTACAGGACAGAAATGGACGGGCTGGTTTCAGACACTGATTAGCAGAAAGAAATCCTTGATATGTTTAAACAAATATATTCTCCAAAGAGATAAAAATATTGGACTCTGGTCACCTTTGAATTTTTGTCGTTACAAAAATAAACCTTTACTGCATTTTACTTTATAGCTTGACCAAATTCATTTTCTCTCCCTCTAAGTAGCTGCCCTTTTCTATCTTCCTCAAAGGATCATCTTGCACAAAGTACTGGATGAGCTCAGAATATAAATTCAGCATGTCGTTCAGCTGCAAACCGTGATAGACCTTCACAGAAACTCAAACACTTAGGAAAAAAGGGACGGGGCGAGGAGTGCGGCAATGTAATATGAGCCTAATTACTTCTGGTTTCATTGTAAGGCAATGGGTATGGAGCTAACAACTCAAATAAACAGAAATGAAACCAAATGGGAAAGAATACATACAATCAAAAAAATACAGATCAATTTAGTTTCAAAATTGTTCCGACTAGCTGCTGTGCTATGGTGATGGGTGCTGCAAACTGCCTGTGCCTAGGTTTTACAGTGATGTAATCTATAAATAAGTGAAATGCCTTGTCACTCCAATTTCTATTCTATACACACACAAAATATAGAAAAGGACAAGATTTTCCATGCAGCTTTACCATGACAACTTAACAAATTCACCATAAACCGAAGGTTGTTTAACATTAAATAGAACATTGTGATGAAATGACAAGGTATGTACCACTGCCTCCACTGCATGGAATCAGAACTGTGCACTGCATGGAATCAGAACTGTGCAACTGACCATACATCTACACAGCAGCTGGGAGGTGCGATTCCCATCTTAGCTACATGTATATGCCCTGGCTCTGCTCAAGCTAGCTCCTAAAACAGCAGTGTGTATTTGATGGCACAGGGGGCAGCTCGGGCTAGCCACCAAAGTACATCCCCGGGGGGTCGGACAGGATTGTACTCAGGAGGTTAGCCCAAGCCACTGTCCATGTTGCCATGGCAACACTGCTATTTTTAGACACTAGCTCGAGCAGCGCTAGCCCATGTATGACTACCCAAGCTGGGCATTACACCTCTCAGCTCCTTTGTAGACATTCCCTGAGCATCACAAGCCCTGTACTGCAAACAATTAATGGAGATCATCCCTTAGCTCAAGCAGCATGGACCTGTGCTTTTGTAGAAGGAAGATCTGTGTACTATCCCTGCTGCAGCAGTGAAATGCTAAGTAATTGTGATGTGCATCATGGTGACAACTGTGAGTCATATCTGTAGCAAAATAATGTGTCCCATCAAGTGTACTTAACGTAACCAGAACTCTACTACTTAATAAGAATTCTGGATCATATCACAGACTTGTGCCACTCCTATGAAAAAAATAGCATACATAACGGACAGATGGAGATTAAGGTCGTTTTGGATGGAAATGCTGCTTTCTAATTTGTGTACATGGCACAGAGCTGTTGTGGCAATGGGCATATCACAAAATGCCTAAGCTAAACAGATGTAAAGCTGATTCTAGCACTATCTCCTGCTGTTGCACATTTGCCCTGCGGAGAGGGACAGATTTGATTATTTAGGGGAGTCTGACAGAAATCAGCAGTATTAAAAGATGATTTTTCCTGGTGGAGTTGTGGTTTGAAAAGTGACTGGAACTGTTTAAGCTGGTAGTCTCCTCCACACCCGCAGAAAAGAAAAAAAAGAAAAAAAAAAAGGGACTTCTCATTTCTTATAGAACATGTCTCTTAGGATTTAAAAGCTTAGAACCAGATTGTGGCCAGTCCTTGCATGAGCACATAAGGTGGAGAGGGATCAAAGAGCTTCTCCACGTTAGCCTATGAAGTTTCTGCCTGCTATTACAAGAGTGCAGAGAGAGCTCAGGGCTGGCAGCATTAGCACTGCCAAAGGAGCAGAGAGGATGCAGGGCTTCAGCTGTGGGGAAGTACACACTGCACCCTGGTTAAGGGTGACAGAGTGACTGTGACCCTTGGGAGCTCCAGAAGGCACAATGCTTCCTGGAGCTCCTGCTAGGGCAGTGAGCAGGCACAACATCCTCAGTTCAGGGATTGGGTTTAATGTTGCCATTTTGCCTTTGTATATAAAAGCTTGGAGCAGACATTTACATTTCCTGCATCTGCCTCAGCAATGGGAGTCCAATGACTGGGGGCTGCATTAATGGATTTTTCACTGTCAGCAACGGCACCTGTGGTAGAACATCATTTAAGAACATAAGAATGGCCACACTGGGTCACACCAAAGGTCCATCTAGCCCAGTATCCTGTCTTCCAACAGTGGCCCATGCCAGGCGCTCCAGAGGGAACATACAAAACAGGTAATCATCAAGTGATCCATCCCCTTTCGCCCATTCCCAGCTTCTGGCAAAGAGAGGTTAGTGACACCATCCCTGCCCATCCTGGCTAAGAGCCATTGATGGACCTATCCTCCATGAATTTATCTAGTTCTTTTTTTAAACCCTGTTATAGTCTTGGCCTTCACAACATCCTCTGGCAAAGAGTTCCACGCATTGGCTGCGCGTTGTTTGAAGAAATACTTTCTTTTGTTTGTTTGTTTTAAACCAGCTGCCTATTAATTTAATTTGGGGAGTCCTTGTTCTTGAGTTAGGAGGAGTAAATAACACTTCCTTATTTACTTTCTCCACACCAGTCATGATTTTATAGACCTCTATCATATCCCCCCTTAGTCATCTCTTTTCCAAGCTGAAAAGTCCCAGTCTTCTTAATCTCTCCTCAAATGGAAGCTGTTCCATACCCCTAATCATTTTTGTTGTCCTTTTCTGAACCTTTTCCAATTCCAATATATCTTTTTTGAGATGGGGCAACCACATCTGCACCCGGTATTCAAGATGTGGGTGTTTGATGTTGGACAACATCAGGAGAACACTGATGGTCTAACGGGACAGTAAAATGAAAAATAAACGTCATGGCGGTAGGATAGAGATAATAATAAAGGAATTATTATTATTAGCAGATTTCTCTCTCATTGGGCTACTTGTTTATTACATTGATATATTAAGGGCCATACAACATTCCTACATCTCTCATTTGTAGGAGTTAATGGGATAATTAGACCAGCAATCATCCTATGCCCTTGTGCATGCAAATTCAGGGTGTGTGTGCAGATACTAAGGGTATGTCTACACTAGGAAAATACATCATATTAGAACACTTGTTAACTGACTTATTTTAAACATGACTTAAGGTACAAATTTCAAAAGTGATTTAGGAGCCTAAGTGCCATTCTCAACGGAGGCTTGAGGCAATTAGATGCCATGGGTCACTTTTGAATACAGAATTAAGCGCTTTTGACAATTTTATGCTTTGCCCTTAGCGTGGACAAGGATAATTGTATTTTAAAACATGTCAGCTGGCCTCGGTTAACATTAGGGTCCCCCCACCACCAACCAAACTTATGGTTAACCACGACCAGCTAACATACTTAACTCATAGTGTGGACACGGACAATCATGTTTATGTCATGTTCAATATTGTGTTAACTAACATGTTTTCTAACATGATGCACTTTCCCAGCATAGACATACCCTGAGTTCTTATTATCAGATGTGCTGAGCACCATCTACAACAGAAGTCAGCAGACATAGCAGGTATTCAGCATGTCTGAAAATCAGTCTCTAAATAGATAGCTTTGTAAAAAATAGATCACAGTAAGTAATTAGCAGTAGAGGATGACGTGAACGTGGAGTCAAGAGTCTCAGAGATTAGTTATCTACAACACTATGTAAACTGTAAGGGTGGTTAGTGAGGAAAAAATCAGGTGTCTCACCAAACTGAATGGCTCCAGTTTCTCTCCCTCGTTTTCTAGATAACCCAGTTGGCTGTATCTTCTGCAATAGCTGTAAATTACAAGAAGAATTATTAGTTATACTGTTTCTGCTTATTGTTCTGGCTCTCTTGTCACGGGTGAGCTTTTCTTGAGCAAATCTCAAAACCTGATTGCAGTTGCCATCCAGCCCCTTATACAGACAAACACAGTGCCTAAATTGTGGTATGCTGAGAGCCACGTTGGCAGTTTGCCAAGAGCCCACAGCTCTTGCCAATTTGCATATAAATGTACACAAGAAGTTTCTCAAAATCAAATGTACGCAAGCACAATTTGTCTGTACTTGTACACCCATTCACGGATAAACTGAAATTGATTTCCTGCACTGTTAATGAAAACCTGTACTTCATCAGCTTTATCCTCCCCCTGCAGTTAGAGAGGAAGGGCAGCCCTGGGCTAGAGTTTGGGACTTTATTGCCCACACTCCGGACACCTTTGGTTGTACTGTGATTATACTGGTCCGATCACCACTTGAGTCAGACACTCACACCCTTGTCATGACTTGCTCTGGAACAGCCATTTCAGCAGAGATAGCAAGTTCTGCTCACTGGCCTCTTAATTAGCCCTTAATTCTCGAACTTCCTGAAGGGCAGACAGCCTTCGTCAAATCTAGCTGGTTTGTTTTGTCTTCCTGGACTCATTTTTCCTTTGATAATACGGAATACTCACTCTATTACAGAATGGGACTATATGACTGTTCTCATATTTCACCCTTTTTATACACAGGGAAACAATCCATTTTTCACAAAGGCCCCAGAGAGCCCTGTAGGATGTGAGTCCCACCTAAGCCGCAGCTTTTCTTTCAAAGCAGGATGCAAAGTTAAATTCTCCAGCATACAAAATAGCATGGTTCTCACTGAGTTACTGCCCTTGCAAAGATTTTTTGCAGGTTAGATTGGAAGGGTCCTTTACAATCTAAACACATACTTTGCATGGCTAGGCTGAATCTTAGATCACAATTACATCCACTAGATTTTGAAGGAGTGGAATGCTTCAGAGTCTGATGCTTCACTGAGGAAATACGAAAGGCGTTAAGCTTGTTACAGTGTAATAAAGCTCTTCAGGGCTCAGATTGTGCATGGTAGGCCCTGAGTATTAGAGACTCCAGGCCCACAAGGGGAGTGTGCCCATTTCTGTAGCCCTGAGAAGGGTGCAGAATGCTCCACTTTGTGCCTCCAGAAAGCTCTGGGAGGTGTATGAGAGGGGGCAAATGCTATGGCCCCACCTTCCCTCTGCCATTTTGGTGCTGGAAGGGAATATTCCAGGCCTCCACTCAGGGAACATGGATGGGGGTGGGGAGAATGGAGAAGGCTCCTTCTGTCCTCTTCCTCATTTGTGTGCCTGAATGGAGCCCTGGCACAATCTGAGCCCAAATAGACATACCTAAAGGTTTACTAGAGATTCAAAGTCAGCATATGTAACTTCTCTTTGCCATTCGATTGATTGGCATGTCCTGTGCTGGTTATTTTAGTACTCTTGTCTTACACAGAGGGTAACAGTGCACAATTACAGTCATTGCACGTTGGAGGATTAAGGTATGTCTACACTGCACACTCCTTTCAGCGAGCGTACAGTACATACACTGCACGCCCCTTAGCAGAGGTATAAATAGCAGTGCAGAAAGTGGGGCATTGCTTAGGTGTGTACAGACACACCTGAACCCCCAGGGTATATACCCTACATGGCGCTCAACATGCCCAAGCAGTACCTCCCCCGTTTATACTGCTATTTTTAGCAGTGCAGCGTCCCACTGCTGGAGTCTTTCCCACCGCAGGACAGACTTTGGCAGTGGTGAAAGGCTCGAGCAAGGGGGAGGCAGCGGGGAAAGACTCTGGCAGCTCCCTGTTGCCCAGCCTTTCCCTGTTGCTTTCTCCCTGGCAGAGCCTTTTACTGCCACTTGTAGCTACACACCCAGGGCCGTTGCAAGGAGGTTTCGCGCCCTAGGCGAAACTTCCACCTGGCGCCCTCCCCCCTCCCCGAGCCCTGCGGCAGCTCCCCGCCCCCCACTCCGCCCTGAGGCGCCCTCCCCTGTGGCAGCTCCCCCCCCCCCCTCTGCCCTGAGGCGCCCCCCCCCGTGGCAGCTCCCCACCCCCCCGGCCCAGGGAGCCATGCGGCAGCTCCCCACCCCAGCTCACCTCTGCTCCACCTCCTCCCTGAGCACACCGTTGCTGCTCCACTTCTCCCGCCTCCCAGGCTTGTGGCGCCAATCAGCTGTTTGGTGCCGAAGCCTGGGAGGGAGAGAAGCAGAGCGGGGCAGCGTGCTAAGGGAGGAGGCGGAGCAGAGGTGAGCTGGGGCGGGGAGCGGTTCCCCTGTGTGCCGCCCCCCCCTTACTTGCTGCAGGTGGCCCTCCCCATGGCAGCTCACCTCCACTCCACCGCCGCCCCAGAGTGCACTTTTGTCCGTCCCCAACCACTTGGCGCCCTAGGCAGCCGCCTAGTTTGCCTAGTGGTTGCACCGGCCCTGTACACACCACAGTATTGTTTGTCACTGCAGCAAGTAGCTACACGCTACATGCCACCACCAGTGGCGTCCAGTGTAGACATAGCCCCAGAGTCATATCAATGGTCCTGTAGTCATGGTTGTAAGACATTTTATATTCTAAGCCCCAATTTTGATTCCGTCTCCCTCCCAACCCTAAATCTGTGGGGGGAGGGGCGGAGAGGAAGGCTCCTCTCAGTCTAGGTATTGCTTACTCTAAGGTCAGGAGAACGTTTGTGGAAAATTCAAAATAAATCCAACAAGCCATCAAACAAGTACCTTGACTTAGAAAAATGAATGGATCTGTCTATTTGGCCAATTGTTCTCGCTGTTTTTTCCTATTGTATTTCAGGAATGGTTTGGGTTAGAAAGTTACAAATAGTCTCATGTGCTTGATCTCAAGGAGCACTCATGAGGGCATAGGATCACATTCATGAAGTGATTCAAGTCAGAATTTCAACTCTTGTGCCTTGAGGTTTCTCATGGAAGTGGGCTATTTTTAAATTAGAGGAATAGTACAAAAATAATTCGAAGTCACAAATCTCCTTATCTTCTGGACTCTCATCACTTTAAAATGGTGAATGTGATTTTAAACAAAAAGCTAGATACCATATTTAAAGTTTGCACAAAAGTAAAGTTTTACGGATATTGCAAAAGTTTTCTCCCTGGACGATACCACATATGTCAAGTTTGACAAAATGAGATGTATTCCTCTGAAAAATAAATAGATTCATATGGGACTTTTCTCCCTAATTTAACTACTTTCCTGACTCACCATTTTGTTCTCTCTAAATGTTTGATGGCAGATAATCAAAGAGAACACTATACAAGAAATAATGACTGGAGGAAGAAGAGAGGAAGTCAAGAGTAAAGGTGCAACACTTAAAAGGGAAGCTCGTTTCATTTTTATTATCAAAGAAAATGCTGTAGCTTTAGTATGAAAATGTTTTAGGCAACTTCCTATCATAAAGAAAGATCAAATTTAGAAGTGACTTCACATTTTCAAACTGAAAAAGACTCTACAGTAGGAATATGCTCTTTTACTCTGTAGGAAAGAATGGAGGCTTTAAACATAGTAGCCCATATTCATCTTTTGCGGTAACTCCGTTCATTTCACAGGCAAATGTATAGTTAATGCTTGGAGGACATATGCCCTGCACTCACAAAGAGCCCAGTGCCAGCAGCAGCCTTGAAAATCCTCTCTCGCTGTTCTCTACACCTCTTCTGGCTGCCAAAGTGCAGAGGTGATCTTTGGGGAGCTGCATGTAGTCCCTCACATGATGTCCCCACCTCCTGCTTTGAATGCATCAGAAAGGGCTGGAGAGGTTGTAGCCAGCAGTTTGTTGTAAACATGGCTTTCACAGATTCTAAGGCCATTGCAAACATCTAGTCTGACCTCCTGTATAATACAGGCCACAGAACTCCCCCAAAATAATTCTTTGGAACTGTTAATTCACCATGCTACTGTATGCTCAATGCCAATGGAGCTTTTAAGGCATGATGCAGTGCTGTCCTAAAGCCACATGCATAGCAAAAAGAACAGAGAGATGGCTAGGTAGAAGACAAGAGGCAGATCTAGACCTTACTGATGGCCAGACACAGACAGGACAGAAGTGGAGACTCATAGCTCTCTCTATTTTTAATCATCACTTCCTTGTGGGAAGTTCAATACCACATCTGCGACCTCACCCAATCCAAAGAAGAAACTATCGGTGCTATTGGTCATGTAGGCCACAGATAGAGGCTCTGCAGGGCAGAGCAAGTGAGGTTTTGTTTATGATTTTGAGTGCTGGTAGAAGAGGATGGCTCATCCAGTCAGTAGGACGTGGGGCATAGCATGGCTCCATATTCTCCCTAGTTGTCAAGTCTATGTATAATTGGCACTAACACTTGGTTGTGACCCAGAGGAAGGCTGTCATGGAGTTCAGGATAGGGGAGTTGAGATTAAGTCTGTCTTGAGACTGGGAAGATGGGAGAAAGTATTTGACTGGGGAGCCAGAGTGCTTTCATTGGGGGAAAGCTCAGGTGGATCGTGGCCCATTAGTCAGAGCCTGCCATTATTATTTCCATATATTTCAGTTCGTTAGACTATGTCTCTATATTATTTTCCTTTTTTTTTTATTTTAAATATACAAATCAAGACTGGATGCCTCTGCAAAAGGTGTGCTCTAATGCAAGCAGAAGTTATGGGTTTGTGCAGGAATCACGTGGTGAAATTCTATGGCCTGTCTTATGCTGGAGGTCAGATGAGACGGTCATACTGGTCCCTATAAATCTATAAAAATTGAACACCCAGGAGACCCTTCTTTGTGGGTACTCCCTGTCATGGGGAAGCAGGTGAGTTCTGGTGAACGAAGGACCTGATCCTGACAGAGATAATGAGCACCTGCAACTTCTGATGTAGTCAACAGGAGCAGGAGATGCTCAACATCTATCAGGACTGGGCTCCAAGTCAATGGCCAGACTCTCATCGACTTCAGCACGAGCACCCTGTAAATCTGTGCTCAGGATCTATTTACCACTAATCCAGAATG